TCAGGGCTCAGAGTGGGGGTGGAGGGGCACCTGGCAGGGGGCGCGGTGGGAGGGAGAGTCCGGCTTGGGCGTCGGTGTGTTCCTTCCCTCCCTGGTGCAAACTGAGGTTCAAGAAGGAAGGAGTCAGGGGTAGGGGGGTCTTTGGGAGCAATGCCATTTCCCCTTTGAGTCAGGAGTTGGTTCATGCGGCAGAATAACTCCCAGAGCAGCAGGATGTTTACCAGGTACAGGAGATACTGTTGACTTTTGTGATGGGAGACATTGCCTCAGAGAGTTAACCCTGCAGGGAAAAGCCCCGTAGGCTGGCAGTCCAATCCATGACCTACCAGTTTCTAGCTCTTACACCTCCCTGAGACCCAGGCTTCTTGTATGTAGAATGGGTATAAAAGCAACCTCTGCACCTCCGACTTCACAGGGTTGTTGTGTTGGTACCCTGTGATCTCTAAAGTGTTATTGGTAGTAGGATATTATTATTTTCTTAATCGAATACCTCCAGGCACCAGGATAATTTTCAGTTTTTTTTTTAAACTATAGAGTTATATAATTCCTGTCCCATGCTTAGCCTAGGAATTTATTTTGAATCTACCTTTTCCCCACTCACTTGAGTAGATTGCCTTAGAGTAGCATCAACTTCCAGCCCCTATTAGGAAAGGAAAGAATTTTGATTGACAATTAATGTCCAGGGATAAGACATTAATTAGGACTTGGTGTGTATGATGAGTGTATGTGTGTGTGTGTGTGTGTGTGTTGGGAGAAAAGGAGGAATAACTTGAAAAAAGACATTTAATAACTGGCTTCTCTCTAAGCCTCCTGACCTAGATTAGGCCCAGCAGCTCAGCCGGGGTGGGGGTGGGGTGGGGTGAAGGGGGTGAGGGGATGGGGGTGAGTGGGGAAGTGTTTCCTGGTGGGGGTGTGGGGTGAAGGGGGTGAGGGGATGGGGGTGAGTGGGGAAGTGTTTCCTCTCCCCACCCTCAAAAAACTTTGGTGAATGAAAAAATGAAAGAGAGGTGACTAAGAGTTTGATAGGGACGTGGGATTGGTACCAAATCTCAATCTCTGCTTCTTTAAACAAGAAACACCCACAGAGTTGGAGTGCAGTTAACATGCCTCAATCAGACGAAGTTGTCATCCCTCTTTCTACTTTCAACGTAGCTCAGGCTAGTTGGGCCCTTGAGTGCACTAAACATGAATTAATGACCAGCTAGAGGGAGACTTAGGGCTGTTCTGGAGCAGTGTTCACCCCATGGGAGTGGGCAGGGTGGCGTGCAATGCGGCTGCCCCGACAGTTCACCTTGCACACTGTTCAGGGACACTTGGTCCCATGGCCTCAGGTAGCCAAGGTGCCCAAGCAGGGTCTGGAATCCACTCGCTCCTGGGAGTCAAGAGGAACCTTGAGTACAACACTTGAAGCGAAGGGATGAGGTTCTAAGTGAAATTTAAGGGCTCAGCCAGCCTACAGGTGCGATATTGGGGTAGATAGCCTTAGAGTAGCATCAACTTCCAGCCCCTAGTACAGCGGTTCTCAACCTGTGGGTCGAGACCCCTTTGGGGTTGAACGACTCTTTCACAGGGGTCGCCTAAGACCATTGGAAAACACATATATAATTACATATTGTTTTTGTGATTAAACACTATACTTTAATTATGTTCAATTTGTAACCATGAAAATACATCCTGCATATCAGATACTTACATGACGATTCATAACAGTAGCAAAATTACAGTTATGAAGTAGCAACGAAAATAATTTTATGGTTGGGGGTCACCACAACATGAGGAACTGTATTAAAGGGTCGCGGCATTAGGAAGGTTGAGAACCACTGCCCTAGAGGGAAAATTAAATGATGTAATTCACAGCCTCGTGTGAATTCTCATCAGGGGATTCGGAAGGCCTACGGGCTCTCAACATCCAAAGGGAGACGGTCTTGGGGAAGGTAGCAGACAGTGGTCCATTGGGAGGTAGGGGATGCTGCCTTGTCTGACCTCTGGTCTCAGAGCTGGGGGTGAGGAATTGCCCCATTTCTGATTGTGGTCAGATCACTGCTTAGTTGCTTCTGTTCCCCACACCTTCCTTGCAGGTTTCTGCAAGAGCCGACCACTGGACTTGGTGTTTATCATCGATAGTTCTCGTAGTGTACGGCCCTTGGAGTTCACCAAAGTGAAAACCTTTGTCTCCCGGATAATCGACAACCTGGACATCGGGGCAGCGGACACGCGGGTGGCAGTGGTGAACTACGCCAGCACCGTGAACATCGAGTTCCATCTCCAGACCCACTTGGACAAGAAATCCCTGAAACAGGCCGTGGGGCGAATCACGCCCTTGTCCACAGGCACCATGTCGGGCCTGGCCATCCAAACAGCCATGGAGAAAGCCTTCACAGTGGAGGCTGGAGCCCGGGGACCCAGCTCGAACATCCCGAAGGTAGCCATCATCGTGACCGATGGGCGGCCCCAGGACCAGGTGAACGAGGTGGCGGCTCGGGCGCGGGCGTCCGGCATTGAGCTCTATGCGGTGGGTGTGGACCGGGCGGACAGGGAATCGCTCAGGATGATTGCCAGCGAACCCCTGGACGAGCACGTGTTCTACGTGGAGACCTACGGGGTCATCGAGAAACTTTCCTCTAGGTTCCAGGAAACCTTTTGCGGTAAGACGTTGCCACTAGCAAGGATGCTATAGTCAAACATTATGAAGCAGAAGAAAGAAAGAATTCTCTCCTTTTTCTTTCTTTCTTTTTTTTTTTTTTTGGTGGAAATTTTAGGGAAAGCTTAAATAGAAGCAATGCTTTTTGTGTCTTTTTTTTAACCAACTTAAACACACTTTGTTGGTTTAGGAATATAGAGCTGCCTTCTATATAACTTGGACTGCTCCTAAAATCCCCATGTTTGCATTAGAAATGGGAAGGTCTGGAAATAATCCTGGGTAAATGATCATGCTGTTCCCTGATGGGGTCAGAGAAAAATAAAAATAAAACACACAAGACTGCTCTCCTCCCTCCTGCCCACCCCTGCATTTCCCCCGATATTTTCTCTAGTTTACCCATGTCTCGAGTTTACAGAACTCCTCTTGTTCCTGCAGAAGACAGGGCCCGCGTGTGTCCATGCAGGGGCCAGGCAGCCTGCTTCAGCGTAACTGGCGGGCAGAGTGGACATTCAGTGACGCTCCAGCTCTGAGGTTCACTTCTTTCTCTGACTATTCTTTTTTTTTTTTAATATATTTTTTTTATTGATTTTTTTTTACAGAGAGAAATGGAGAGGGATAGAGAGTTAGAAACATCGATGAGAGAGAAACATCGATCAGCTGCCTCCTGCACACTCCCCACTGGGGATGTGCCTGCAACCAAGGTACATGCCCTTGACCGGAATCGAACCTGGGACCCTTGAGTCCGCAGGCTGACGCTCTATCCACTGAGCCAAACCGGTTAGGGTGATTTCTCTGACTATTCTTCATGGAGGGACAGGGTCAGGAATCAGGGAGACTGGGATTTCAGCTCACTTCACAGGTAGAAGGAGCAGGGCTTGTTTGTTTTATTTTATTTTATTATTTTTTAAGGGGACATCTGTAATACTTTCAACAATAACAATTTATTTTATTTTTAAATCTTTATCTGAGGATATTTTTTTCCACTGATTTTTAGAGAGAGTGGAAGGGAGAGGGAGAGACAGAGAGAAACACTGATGTGAGAGAGACACATCAATTGGTTGCCTCCCACATGCCCCTGAACAAGGCCAGGAGCCTACAACCGAGGTACGTGCCCTTGACCGGAATCGAACCCAGGACCTTTCAGTCCACAGGGTGACGCTCTATCCACTGGGCCAAACCGGCCAGGGCTTGTTTGTTTTTTAAAATCCTTCTGTTATGTCATTCTCATTTCTTCCTTTAGGATGGAGTTTGAAATTGGAATTTTTAGCATGAATTAGCCAAATTCATGAATCTGAATCCATTCGCGGCTGGAGTTTATTATTAGTCACTGATCAGAATTATGAATGTGGGACTTATACTATATTTTTTAATTTTATTTTCAAACTTATTTTTCTTATCGATCTATCATCTATATCTATCATCATGCTTTATTATTATTATTTCTTGTCATTTGGAGATAATCTTTTGGAGCCCTCTATGGAAGTCCCCAAGCTGGTGTAGACAAATTTCTAGTTAAGGTGAATTTTAAAATGTAGATACTTTTTGCTGTATAACCTAGTCCACATTTATTTATTTAACAGGCATTTATTGACTACCGATGACACAAAGATAAAATTTGTCCCTCCCTACCATCAAGCAGTAGTTCGGCAGTGGGGATGAGACAAGCCAGTGAAGTAATAATTACAACCGTGTATTTCAAGGAGACTCTATATCTAAACAAAGGGAAACTCAGCCATCACCAGTCTGTCAGGAAATGGGAGATGAAGCTTGGTCTGGAGCTAAGCTTGGCCTCATCTCAGCCAGACCTGGCTGGGATCCCCTTGTCTTTCCTGAGCCAGGACACTGGGCTCTCTCTCACAAGCAGTCGTTGGTTTTGGTGGCATCTACTTGGCATTTATTGGTTTTCCCAAAGGAAAATGGCCGTCTTTCTCCCAGGAAGACCCCCTGTGCTTGTGGGTGGGTGAGAGCTTGCCAAAGAGACGTTGGTCTGTGGCAAAGTTGGCTCTCACAACCAGCACCGGGGGTTGGGCTTGAAGGCCATCAAGTAATAAGTGGTGAGTGGCGATCTTTTCCTTCTGGTACAAAAGACCTGCTTGTTCTTGGGGAAAAAAGACTGAGGAGCAAAAGCAGCTTGTTTTTGTTCACGGACTAGAAAGATCATCCCATGAAAAGGCTCTTCTTGGGAAAATATTAGGCTTGTCCTCTTGCCAAAGCAGTGGAGGCTGCTTACCTGCCCCAGGGGTCCCAGCCCCCTCCAACAGAAATGACTAAATGCACTGAGTCTTCATCCAAAACAGCTCACTAGGAAAAAAAGCCAATGACTTATAAATGGCTCTAGGAGGGAAAAGATGGAGATGCAGTTTAGCTGATAGAGTCGAGTTTATTTTGTTTTTTTCTTTTTACCTGTTTGTGTTATAGCGACAGAGTTTATTCTCCTTACTGATATCAGAGGCCCTGAAGTTGCGTGTGTTTAAGTTTGCTGCCTATTCAGAAGGCAGTTACCTGCACTGCCATTCCCCACTGTTAAGTTCATATATGCCCAAGTGTGAGCGAGTTCTAGGCCTAGAGGACCGCACCTGTGTATGAATTCTGTTTGGACAGACACTATAGAACCCCCAGAAACCAGATTCCAGCTGCAATGGGACAGTCAGCTCATAGAACTTCAGGAAACACATGATCGTCTCCCCCGTTTCTGGCTTTGGGAAAACAAAAGTTTTTTTCATGGATAGGTGGATATGTTGAATGAATATCCAATTGCCTGACCCAGTAGAATTCTCTCCTTCTCCTCCTCCTCCTTCTCCTTCTCCTTCTTCTTCTTCTTTTTGAGAAAGTTAACAATAAGATCTGTGATTTAAAATTAGTAACACGACTAGTTTAAGGATTGTATTTCTAGCCAGGACAGAAACAAATAGTCAAAATTGGCAGTGAACTAAAGATGGAATCGGAAAGAAACCAGAGTGCTATGTCTTTTTGACATGGGAGAAAGTACCTGAAATGTTGACGTGTCTGTCGTCCGCTGACTGTCGTCCACTTCCTTTGCACAGCAGTGGACCCGTGCATGCTTGGCACACATGGGTGCCAGCACGTGTGTGTCAGTGACGGGGACGGCAAGCACCACTGTGAGTGCAGCCAAGGGTACGCCTTGAATGCCGATAAGAAGACCTGTTCAGGTGAGGCCTGCTTACCCGAGGGGGGCTGAACGGAACTTAGATTCGGGACCTACTCTCCAGGTTTCGGCCTGGCCTTGTGCTTTTCTCCTAATTGACTTTTGGCTGATGTATTGTTGTTTATCAAAAGGAAAATGAGAAGAAAAGTGAGGGAATACATAAATCAGCCTATGATGGTACAAAATTCTTGGTCCTTTTGAGGGTTTGGAATTTTCGTGGATTTTATTTATTTACATGAAAAGCTACCCTTTCCTCTCTGTGGCCGTAGATGCTCATGGGATCTAGAAGAAAACGTAGAGAGGGCCTCGCTCATCCTGAATGGGAATACTCAGACACAGGCAATGAAGAAGGGGATCTAGGTCCACTTAAATCCTGGAAAAAAGTTTTTGAGGGGAAGAAAACTTAGAGATCATTTAATTCAACTTACTTATTTTAAAGATAATGAATTAAGACCCAAAGAAGGGAGACTCACCCATGCCTGGGGTCTGTGAGTAAAGAGCCGAGACCAGAAAGTTGGTTCCCAGCTTCCAGCCCCGTAGCCTTCCTATTGTGCCGAGCTACCCTCAGCTGTGTGTGCGCGCGTGTGCATGTGTGTGTGTGCATGCATCTGTGTATGGTCTGTAATTATTGATTCACGCTTCCATGTGTTTACATTTGTCCTGATCATTTCTGATAGCCATCGATAAGTGTGCTCTGAACACTCATGGATGTGAGCACATCTGTGTGAACGACAGAGCTGGCTCTTACCACTGTGAGTGCCACGAAGGTTACACTTTGAAGGAAGACAGGAAAGCGTGTGCAGGTACGCGGGAAGGAGGCTCCACTGCTGCCACCTCTTTGTCTGCCTGGCGCTGTGAGCAGAGGTGGAGGGCGGGTCACACTGATGGGAAACTTCATCTGTTTTCCTCTCTTGCCACCCTGGGTTTTCCCACTTCTAGGTCTTGTTAGAAAACGTAGAAAAGGCTGTATGTATGTATCGCGGCCCACATGTGGAAGAGTGTTGTTCATTCCTTCTCTGTGCCAGCCCTAACAGTCCTTTCCAAATGCTAAAGACAATGTAGTCAGTTGAAATCAAATAACTCCCCTCAGGATATTCATCACTTACAAAGGGGAAATAGTAACGTCATCGTGGGGAAACCTGGCAGACACCAGTTTCGCCAAGTGATCCAAGTTAACATCCATAACAGGGACATAGAGTGACATCATGCATCTCCTGACACCGTGTTCTGAGGGCACAGAGCGCTTCTGTGGTATTCTTGCTAAAATTTCAGAATCACGAGGAAACATCAGACAAACCCAGACTGAGAGATACCCTACAAAGTGTCAGAGTCATGAAAGACAACGAAAGGCAGGAAATATTACAGATTGGAGGAGACTAGAGACGGGACAACTTACTGCAATGTAGGATCCTGGGCCAGAGAAGGGACATTGGTGGAATAATTGGCAAAATGTGAATGCTTAGTAAGATTAGTAATGAGCTAATCTGTAGATTAGCTAATAGTATTGTATCAATTTTGATAATTACACTATAATTATTTAATATGTTAACATTTGGGGAAACTGGATGAAGAACAGGACCTCTCTGTTCCATTTTTGCAATTTTTTCATAGGCCTGAAATTATTTCAAAGTGAAAAGTTTAAAAAGAAAAAGAGTAATTAAAAAATCTCATGGCAGTTCAGAGAAGAAGTGCATTGAGTGCATTTGGGTCTTGAGTTCTGATGCTGTTCTGAGTCAGTGGGTCTCCTTTGGACTCAGTTTCCTCGCTTATAACGGGCGAGGGTTGAACTACACTTTCTTCAAACTCTATGTCTTTCTGAATCTAGTATAAGTAGCTACCCAACTGTTGGTATTGCTCTCATTCAGTAAAAGTACAAATAAACCTAAAAGGAATGCTTTAGGAAGCATTTTATGATATATTTAGATTATAAAAATTCAATATAGATGGTTCTGAAAAGGAGTTGGGAAAGTAGAAGAATGAGTACTGTGTGTGTCGGATTTTGTTGAACTCAGCTGGCTTCCTGTAAGAGCAAATGGAACTGATGCCTTTGAAAGGGGTTTGCTTCTGACATGTTCTAGCTGCAGATGAGATGTCTGTATACACGTAATATAGCGAATGTTTTTATATTGTTGAATTTCTTCTCTCCTGGGCTTTTGTCTGGCAGCTCAAGATCAATGTGCTTTAGGGACACATGGCTGTCAGCACATTTGTGTGAATGACAGAGCTGGGTCCCATCACTGTGAATGCTACGAGGGCTACACCCTGAGTCAAGATAACAAAACCTGCTCAGGTAAGGCACACTCAACAAACTCTTTCACACTTGGCTCCTTTCTATGGCAGGGAAACCAACTTGCAATTTCCCAAGAGAGAGATTCTTCAAGGCAACTTAAAGAGCCAGGCTTCAGACATTCTGCTGTGCTCACAGACTAAGGCATGCGTTGCTTACAGGGCAGTGAGCTCAGCAGAATCAGCAAACATGGATGACTTCAGAAAGTGACTGGGCAATGGGTCGGGAGTGGGGGATATGAGGAAAGCTCCGTGAATGGAGGGTCCTTATCCAGGAACATTTTGTAGCTCTGTACACTGGGGGCTTGTAAAGCAAATGGGAAACCTTAGGGGAAGTCAGTTGGACAGGAACTATTTGGTGTGATAGGCTGAACTGATCTTTTTCCAATTAAAACTTGGCTTTGAACTCTCCTGTGGCGTTAATCTTAAAGCTGGATCGTGTTAGTAAAGGAGACTTTGTAAACGACTGAATGAGACCCACACGGATCTTCCAGTAAGTTTGCGGCAGGTCGTTCCCTGACACTTTCTAGATGATCAATCTTCGAAGCATCTGAGACTTGGCTAGCGCGCCCATGCCCGAACTCGAATCCTCATTAACTTGATTTAAACGCACTGGCAGAACACAGTGGCATTTATAATGTAAAAACACTCCTAGGAGAAACTCCTAGCTCTCCAGGTGGTGTTTAGTTCTGGCACATTTTTTTAGATTTGATGTATAGTTTCCTCTCCCTTGAGGAGATATATTGGGTGACCTTTACAAGAGGGATGAAGGGAAATGGCTATCACCAATTTCCTTTGTAAAAAAATGGGATCAATGAAAGAGAACTGAGCACCTATTTTGTCCCCAGGACTGCTAAGCACTGTGCGGATATAAAGCATAAGTTTCTGCCTCTCTTTACGGGCAAAGAGACCCAATATCTAAAGCAGGGGTCCTCAAACTTTTTAAACAGGGGGCCAGTTCACTGTCCCTCAGACCGTTGAAGGGCCGGACTATAGTTTAAAAAAGACTATGAACAAATTCCTATGCACACTGCACATATCTTATTTTGAAGTAAAAAAACCAAAACGGGAACAAATAGAATATTTGTATTTGCATGTGGCCCGCGGGCCATAGTTTGAGGACCCCTGGTCTAAAGTAAGCAGAGACTATAGCCGGGAGAGGGACTGATGGGAACTAAGGGCCGGGGATGGAGGGCATGTCCACTTGTTATCTCTAGTGAGTGTCAACGTAAGAAACGTCCAAACCTGTAAGAATTTTTATGAGTTTATTTGAGCCAACCTGACAATTGCTGGGAAGCAGAATCTCAATGGATGGAGAAAATGCTCCAGAAAATGGCAGTTTTATCACTTAAAAAAAATTGATTTGACAGAGAGAGAGAGAGACAGACAGACATCGATGTATGAGAGAAACATTGATCAGTTGTCTCCTGAATATGAAGGCAACCTGGGTATGTGCCCTGACCAGGAATCAAACTGGTGACCCTTCAGTGCATGGGATGACGCTCAACCAACTGAGCCACACCAGCCAGGGTTTACCACTTACCTTACACATTAGAATCGGAAGATGTAAGGGAGTTACATGAAGTCCAGTGGTGATAGATTAGGGAGGCTGGAGAATGCAAAGTGGGGGAAATCTCTGGGTTTGGATAAAAGTAAAAGGAATAGACACATACTTCTTTTCCGTAGGCGGGTATAGGATATTAATAGCTAGCATGATAATAACAATGAGGGGATTTGTGATCTCCACTCTGGTGCAGTGGTTGTGCTTTGAGGGGTCTGGAAAAAAGAATTACTTTGATATTCCAAAGGCATGCTATCAGGCATATTATCTTCCATTCAAAAAGACAAGGACAGCCTCAGTTAAGGTGAAGGTTGACCTTTGTTGGGAAAAATACTGCCCTAGGACATGACTACCTGCCTTGAACTGCTTTTAGTTGGAAAGTTTTAATTTCAGACCCTCCTATGTGGGTACTTTCCATCTCTGAGTATGGAAGGCCACCACACAGGCCTCCCCTGAGCTTGTCAGGTTTAGTATGTGGCCCCTTTCCCGTCCACATGAGCGACACAGAGGTGGTGGGACTGGCGGTGGGCCTTGGAGGATGGTGACAGTTTGGTGGAGGGTGGAGAGATGGAACAGGCAAGGGGACTGGCTTGTTCAGGGTGGTAGGGCTGTCAGATGGGGTGCACTTCTCAATTCGTGGCAAGTATCCCACTTGGTACTGTAAGCTGCCAGGAACATTGAAGTCCTGGGAAAAGGACACAAAAACAAATGTACATTTCAGCTAACAGGTGTGGAATGAAGGAACATTTTATTGAAGAAAACCCACAAAACATCAAGGGCAATTTTCAATCTAGGCAGACTACTCCTGGAATACTCCCACTAAACAGGACAGGCAGATTAACTTGTCCACAGTCACCCAGCTAATGAGTAGCAGAGCCAGGATTTGAACCCACGTACTTACTCGGGGATACATGTGCTCATAACACGAAGCTATACTGTCTCATGGTGCAGGGCACAAGATAGCAAAGGGAGGTAGAAGAGAAAGACAAGATGGCGGACTCATACATGTCATCATCGTGTGTGTGTGTGTGTGTGTGTGTGTGTGTGTGTGTGTGTGCAGGTCAGTGCTTTCTGTCCCACTTTGTAAGCCATCAAGGGCAGGCCCTCCGTCATTCGAGTCCTTTTTGCGCAGCATCAAATTTAGCTCCATGTGTAGGTGGGTCCCTAATAATAATTTTAGTGGTGGTGAAGAAGCTCCATGTATGTTTGGAGGCATTGGTGGTCATCAGTAAAGTTCTGAAGGTGAGTTCTGCAATATAATCAAGACTCAGTGCAGCCCCCGTGCTGCGGGTAGGAAAACAGAGCAGCACCCCCAGATATGGGCAAGAAAAAAAAAGGAAAGGGGTGTATGCAATAAAAGGCAGGCGAGGGGATGTGAGATAGGAGACAAGAAAGTAGGCTTTCTTCTTGTGGAACAGGGGAGCCTTGTTGCTGTTGACACCTGTTGGGACCAAACCAAAGCCTTTTCTCCCAGAAGTCTGCGCTTAGTTTCCCGTTGTAATTTGTGACTGTTTCCCTCCCTGCACCACTCCTGGTCAGTTCTTGACAAGTGTGCTCTGGGCTCTCACGGTTGCCAGCACATTTGTGTGAGTGATGGGGCCGCGTCCTACCACTGCAATTGTCATACTGGCTTCACCCTGAATGAAGACAAGAAGACGTGTTCAGGTAAAGACCGGCCCTTTAATCCTATTTCATTTGGGGGGACAATCTAGGAGTAAGCTCTTCTCTCTCAGAGTCTGAGGCACGTTCTTCCTGTTGGAATTCTCCAGGGGTTCCTACTTGGCATCAGAATGAAATGATTCTACTCCTCCCATGATCTGGTTTCTCTCTCTCTCTCTCTCTCTCTCTCTCTCTCTCTCTCAAATTAAAAAGCAAAATCACTCTTGGGCATTTTTTTTTTATTCCTGAAAAATGGGATTCCGACGTGATTTATAATGGTTTAGGCTCTGACCTCATTTGCCCAGTCATTCACTGAGCTATTTGTTCAGCAGCTGTTCATGGAGCTACTGTTACATGTCAGGTACTGTTAGGTCCTGAGGAAGGAGCTGGAGAGAAACCAATGTTTTGTAGTGAGCAGTGTACAAGTCTTGCACTTCTTTTGTTAAAATTTACTCCTAAATCTTTTATTCTTTTTGCTGCTATTGTGAATGAGTCCATCTCTCAACTTTCAATTGTGCTACATTGCATTGTCCAGTTTTCTATGGGATCTGTTATTTAGAACATCCCACTGAGCCCCTGCCCTCACAGAGCTTATAGTCTCTCAGGCAACATATACTGAAAAAGTATCCTAAGTTCCAATTTTATACTCTATCGCGATGCTGGATGGGCTTGTACTGCATCCAGTAGCTACATTCTGGTTTACTAATTGATTGAGATGGGATTTGAGGTGGCCTTCCCTAAGAGGTTCAATAGGGTTTGGACAGGTAGGTAGATTCTATTTAATCAAGTGTGTTTTGGTCCCCAGCCCTATATCATATCTTTGTAGAATGTGGGAGAACATGTAGGAGTAAAGGCCCACTGCCTTCCTCAGGCAGTAGTGCTACTCCATTGCATGCTTACACTTCAGACCTGGGAGGTTATTCTTATTTCTATTAGGCAATTTCAGAGGCTATGAGATTGAGTAGGAATAGCTGCCTCACTGAACTATAGAAAGAAACAGGAGTTAGCATTATCCTTCTCCCAGGTTCTTCGATTAAATGTCAATGCAACTTTAGTTCCAAAGTATTTATGGGGTGGGGGGCTGGGGGCTGGGTGCATGCTGGAAGGGGCCAATGGGGAAAAAAGGGGATATATGTAATACTTTCAACAATAAAGATTAAAAAAAAAAACACACCCAAACCCGAAGTATTTATGGGTAAGAACTCTCATTTTAAACAATTCAATAGAATAATAGCCCACATAGGAAATCAGGAATTATCTAGTTTTAAACCTTGAAGTATTTTGGCTGCATAAGTAGAGGTTTTTCCTCGTTTTCATTTTTTAATGAGGACACAGTATCACAAGATTAGTTTCTTGGCTTCCCGCTACATTATCTTTTTAAAAATTTACTTTATATCATGGAGAATTTCAGGCAATCACAAAAGTATAGAGAAAATATAATGAGCTCACATATAACCATCACCCAGCTTCGACAATTGTAGATTTGTCCCCAGCATTTCCTAATTCAGTTTCTTCTGTGACATTAACATTCCAAAGTGTTTTGTCCTCTTTGCGTGTGCTCCCATATCCTTTTACCTTCCAAAAAATGCATTTAGGTAAGCCCTAAAAATGCAACTATCAAATCATGGATTTCTAGACTTGCTATGATTTCTAATTAACCAAAGCATTTCGTGTCCTGTCATTGTCATCAGCCGTTCAAGAAGCAGCAAGACTCACCTCCATAAGAGATGCTTGTGGGTGCGAAGCCACACTGACATTCCAGAACAAGGTCATCTCGTATCTGCAGAGACTGAACACCAAGAATATCCTTTCTGGGAGCTTTTCTGCTTAAAGCCTACCTAGGTACGACAATGAGCCAAACATTTTAGGATATTTCACAGGATGAGGGCCCTCCCTATTCAGTAGGTTTTAAGATGAGCAATAGTAAAACTGCACAGCGTTTATTTTGTAAACAGAGTTTCTTTGAAACGTTTTAAGAGACCGTTTCACCCATTTAACATTGACATGGAAAAGCTACCTGTTTCTTTCTCTAGTGTTTTTCCATAGCGGTTTCTGCTCCCAATTGAGCTCTTCTTCACAGATCCAGCTATTATGTTATGATGCCCGTATATGGCTTCTTAGGAATCTAGCCATGCATAGAATGAGTCAGCTGATTCATGGGGTGTGATCGCTCAGATAACACACAGCTGTAACACCGGCTAGCCAAGCCGTCAAAAAGCAGATTTGAAATGTACCATGTTACCATGTCAGAAACTTTCAAGATTAGCTCTTTAGTCGAAGTTGTGATTCAGGGAAATTACTTGTTTAGCGCGACTCAACTTAGCAACGCTGTTCCTAGGGATCTTAGAGGAGTGGCATTCAAATTGTGACGGGGATCCCCAAGGAGGGTGCAGAGACTTTCCAGGGGTTCGGTGGACGTGTGTGGGGGAGTGAAGGGGTGGCAGACAGAATGTTATAAAGGATCAGTTTCCAAATCCTTCACTTCCTTAAGTTGATCTGCCTAAGATGCTACTTGGGGTGAGTTGGCATTCTCTTTTCCTCTCTCTCACCTCCGTATCCCCATTCTCCTAACTTTACATAAACCTCTCACATAGCCTGAATCTTTCTAAGGTGCATTTCTTGGAAAAGAGTCAAAGGGGCAATTCAACAGATTTTTAAACCAAGGCTTCATAAACACGATTCCCCCCACCCCAATCCATACCATTAAGAGATACCTTTCCAATTAAATTTTACCTTTTATTTGTAATGGTTTTATGTAAAAATTTATACCTTATTTGTTGTTTGGATCCATTATGTGCTCATAATAGCTGTATTGATAATTCAATCCAGATGATTAAAAAAAATTGGGGCCTTATGGTCAAAGAAATTTAATTGAAAGGTAATTTCAATATAAATGTGTGTGCTTGTTTGTGTAAGTTTACTTCAGAGAAGTATAATAGAGTGATCAAGAAAAGATTTCTGCCCTAACCGGTTTTGCTCAGTGGATAGAGCGTCGGCCTGTGGACTGAAGGGTCCCAGGTTCGATTCCGGTCAAGGGCATGTACCTTGGTTGCAGGCACATCCCCAGTAGGAGGTGTGCAGGAGGCAGCTGATCATGTTTCTAACTCTCTATCCCTCTCCCTTCCTCTCTGTAAAAAATCAGTAAAATATATTTAAAAAAAAAGAAAAGAAAAGATTTCTGAGCCCTGACCGGTTTGGCTCAGTGGATAGAATGTCGGCCTGCAGACTGAAAGGTACCAGGTTTGATTCCGGTCAAGTGCATGTACCTTGGTTGTGGGCACATCCCCAGTAGGAGGTGTGCAGGAGGCAGCTGATCATGTTTCTAACTCTCTATCCCTCTCCCTTCCTCTCTGTAAAAAAATCAATAAAAATATATTAGAAAACAAGATTTCTGAGATTCAAAGTAGAATAAAATTCTGTGAAGAAAGTAGAAAGGAAATACAAATTCTTTTGTTTTAAATATTTTATTTTAGAAGAATACTAAGTATCAATCTAGTATGCTTTTAATGTTACATGGGATACATTTGAAAGATTGATTTAAATTTCATTTTAGAAAGTTAATATTTATAACAGCATAAATTATACTAGTGTATTTTGTAACTAAAACTTATGAAAATTTTCATATAACTTAAATATGCACAAGACACCACTTATTTGTTAAATATTTTAGGGGGCATATGAGCACAAATGTTTGAAGACTACTGCTTTATATCATGCTTTCTAAAAAAAGAACTTCTGAGTTTTAGATTACATTAGACTTGAGAAAACATTTTTACTCTTTTTATTTATTTACAATGGAATGTAATTATTTTCTTTTATTTTGTATTAAAGTGTTTGAAAGTGTGTGTATGTTTTCTAATGTCAAAATAAATGGTGTTGGCCTTAACAACTAACCACTTGATGACATTTTGGAGAAGTTGCAAGCAAATGAATATGGACAAATACATCATTAAGCTGCTCAAAATTTTCACCCTGGCCAGTGTGGCTCAGTTGGTTGAGCATCATCCAATCCACCAAAAGGTCGCCGGTTCGATTCCAGTCAGAGTACATGCCCAGGTTTTGGAATCCCCACTAGGGGGTATAAGGCAGCTGATCAATCGTCAATATAAATGATCTTTAAAACTGCTCAAAAGTTTCACCTGGAAATATAGAGAACTTGCTGTATTTAATACTTATGTATGTTCCAATGGTGCTAATTATCTGCCATTAAAATGCTTGAATTAGTGGAGACATAGTTTGAGAATCTTCTGGAGAATCAGTATTATTTTTCTAAGGGAACAAATGTCCAGATCCTTAATTTAATGCAAACTTTAGTGTCTTTAAGTTATGACTATGAAATGGTTGGTAGGAAATAGAATGAAAAGTTTAATATTTCTTTCTTTACTAATTGAGCCATTTCATTTTTTTTCAGTTCCTAAGTTCTCATTCTATTCTCAAACACAAGTATGTTATTTCTATAATTATATTCATATTATATATTCATCACAGATATTTTTAAATGTATAATATATAAAGAATAAAAATCACCTGTACAAAACTACTAACAGTTTGCTATTTTTTCCCAGTGTTCTTACTTTATAAATGTACATTTTAAAATTCTGTTTGTTTTTTAAAATATTGAATTTATTGGGGTAACACTGGTTAATACATTTATAGAGGTTTCAAGGGTACAGTTTTATGATACATTATCTGTACATTGTGTGTTCACCACCCAGTGTCAGGTCTCCTTTCGTCACCATGTATCCCCCCTTTACCCTCTTATACCTGACCCCACCTCCCTTCCCCTCAGGTCATCACCATATTGTTGTCTGTGTCTATGAGGGTTTTTTTCTTAATCCCTTCACCTATTTCACCCAGCCTCCCCACTCCCATCCCTTCTGACAGCTGTCAGGCTGTCCTTCGTGTTTTGTAAGGTTGTTTTGGCCATTAGATTCCACATGCAAGTGAAATCATATGGTACTTGTCTTCTCTGACTGGCTTATTTCACTTAGCATAATACTCTCCAGATCCATCCATGCTGTGGCAAAAGGTAAGATTTCCTTTTTTTTTTTTTCATGGTCGAGTAGTATCCCATTGTGTAAAGGTACCACCGCTTTTTTTTTTTTTTTAATCTATTCTACTGATGGGCACTTGGGCTGCTTCTAAATCCTGGCTATTGTAAATAGCACTGCAATTCCCTACAGAAACAGTCAAAACCCAGAAACAGTAAAAAAATCTAAAATACAAACTTCAAAGGGAATAAATGAAAAATAAACATGTCAAGGCAGTATATATTTTATGAAACATATATTGTTATTTCTCAACATTTTTGGAAGGACATGACATAGAGCAGTATTATTTTCCAAACATATTTGAGCACAGGATCAGTAATATATTAATACTAGAGGCCCTGTGCAAGAAATTCATGCACAGGTAGGGTCCCTAGGCCTGGCTGGCCATCAAGGCCAATTGGGGCCTTCCGACTGCTGGCCGGAGCCGTCCTTTGTTCCGCACTGCCCCCTGGTGGTCAACTCATGTCATAGTGAGCGATTGGTCTCCGGGTCAAACTCCCAAGGGGGCACTTTGCATATTAGCTGTTTATATATATAGATATCACAGAGCAATGATGCTATAGAAGGAATAAATGAGAGTTCATGTTCAAGAACTAAGGAAAAGTATTTAGATATGATTTTTCAAGAGTGTGACCATTAGTAACTAGCTTTGATTAATCATGTCTTAAATCCCCCTGGCTTAGATAATACTCACTTGATTCATGAGTCCAGTATAGGGAGCCGGTGAGAAGGTGCCAACATATCTTAGGAATTTACAGTTTGGTGTTGAAAAAACAGATACCCATACATTTGAAAACATACATATTTTATCTGAATGGGGTCGGGGTTAAGTTTGGAAAGAATTTCTTAGGAAGATCTGAGAAAGATCTATGCCTTTGGCCAAGAGGGTGGGAACATCATAGGATATATATATAAAATGGCCTTAGAAGCAGGGAGGAATGGTGGGGTGCAGAAAGCATATTGGCTTGCTTAGAGTAGGGCCATAGGAAAGACTTACGAGGGAGATCTGATGTTAGCCAGAGTTTAGATTTGATAGAAAGGCAGCAGGACAACTGTCAATTCTTTATTTTTAAATATATTTTTTATTGATTTCAGAGAGAAAGGGAGAGGGAGAGAGAGATAGAAGCAATGATGAGAGAACCATTGATTGGCTGCCTCCTGCACGCCCGCAATCCAGGCATCAAACCTGGAATTGAACCAGGAATCAAACAGTGACCTGGTTCAGAGGTCGGTGCTCAACCATTGAGCCACCCAGGCCGGGGCCATTGTCAATTCATGAGTGCGCTGGGCAAGGCCACAGACTCAGGTGAAGGATTGCACGTATTTGCCTGAAACTGGCTACTGTTGCATACAGTACATGCTAGATTATACAAGTCAACAAATCAGTAGCCGCAGAACATGGTAAAAGGGAAAACCAAAGGAGGAAGAAATGTCTGAGGCAATAATTTCATGAGAGTTTTGGCTCTATGGCCCAAATGGCGGTGCTTTGTAACTTTCCAGGGACTCAAAAAGCACCAAGGAGAACTGAAGAAAGGAATAAAGTAGAAAGAAGAGAATACTGAACAGTGGCCTCCAGGCGAGAAAATACCAAATGCCTCAATTATTTGAAAATGAGGGCTATGCCCCAATGGCAATTATATGCGGCAATGGCCCAAAGCCCATACCTATTTTTATAGGGACCCTTGGGCTGCAGTAAGAGCTTAAATAAGCTGTTGAAAAGTTCTAAGTCAGCAGAACGAGCACACACTCCAACCTCCAAATCGCTCCAGGGAGTTCGCGAATCCCCAAAGGCCCAAGGGAAGGTTTGCAACCTTTGGAAAACGCATGTTTGCAATTTCATTTGCCCGAAGGCGCCAACCTACCCGAGGCAACTAATGACGTTTCCCTTCCCACGATGCTGGGCGTTGGGGCTCACGAAACACTCAAACATTGACCGGGCGCCTGTCCTGCTCAATGGACCCTGCCTGACACGCACGCGAGTTTCCCAGCGCCATCCGAGGTGGTGCGGGGATCGAGGGCACCTGAGGCCCGGGGCCGGGCGCCGAGGAGGGGGGCGACCAGGCCTTCAGGGGGAGCAACCAGCCCTCAAGCCCCTGTGACAGCTTCGGCTCCGAGACAGCGACTCCCACCGGTCCCACGACGCCCGC